CAGCCTTAGTGATTCTATGATTCTATGATAAGCTCATATAGGGCTAGCTATAATTCGACAGCCGTGAAGCTTTATGTCCCAATACTCACTTTGTCCCTTGTCCAGCACAGGTGTGTCACCACGCGAGGAACAGTTGCTTCGTGGCACATTGCAGCGGGTTGCACAGCCCACCAGAGTGATTCCTGCCAAGACACCATCTGTTCCAGACGACTCTTCAGGATTTACATCTCCCTCCAGAAAGATCTCGCCTGGAGGATAATCACTCTCACTGGCCGCTGAAGGGCAAAGAACAGATTCTCCCATAAATCTAGCTGTCACTGCTGATTTCAATGCAGCAGTACTCCTGAGGTAACCATACGGATGGAAGATGCTGATCCCTCAGGGTTCACTGCCCTAGGGAGGTACTACAGAATCAGTCAACATCATGGTGAATCCCCTCATCCCTAGCATCAACATCTAGGCCAGCTACAGAGTCCTCCCAAACCCAGGCAAGGCTCACTCTTGATCCCAATAACCATCCTTTACATGACAAAGGAACGCCTTACTAAACATTCAACAGTGAGGGATCTCCAAGGAAAGGTCCTACAAGAAGGCAAGATTGGAGTTATGATTTTGAGGGACAATTACAGAATGCAGCAGGGTCCGAGGGTTAGTTCTTAAGTGAGGACGCTACATTTGTCACTCCTCAGTGGACCCGGTGACCCTGTACAGATCACAGCCTGGGCCCCACTTACCAGGGATGCTGGAGATGCAGAGTACATGAGCATTGCAGACAGTGAACTGGTCCACCACTGTGCCCGGCTGATTAGCATCAATAATTACAACTTTACTTGTTGACAGTGTGCTAGTGAGGATCCAGACACGACTGGATGTGGCATCCATTTCATGGAGCTCCTTTGCCTTCAGGAGAGCAAACACACAGGCAGAATCAGTGCTCCTCTCAGAGCAGACTGAGTGTATTAGTGCTTGGGAACAGTTACACACACAAATACCAGAGTGCTGGCTTCAAAGAGCCTCCTAGATGATGCAAATAAACAAGAGGATCTATGCAAATTTAATTCACATTGCCGTACTAGTCTCTGGAAGCCTATCTGGCTCCTCAGGGCAAGAGGACTTTGACCATTAATTTCTATTCTGAGATGTCGGACTGATTTATCACTGAACATCCACTCCAGACAGAATACCATGGATCTGGGAAGCACTCAGCCTAGCAGCTTAAGCAAGCTGATCTCAGAAGACTATAAGGCAGCAGTGTAAGACAGCTGTGGAAAAAAATCCCACAAGCCAGAGAGGATAAACATTGTATGATTATCTGCAAATTACAGCTTGGTTCTTAAAAACAAACCTCATGGACTCTGCTGTGTCTATGTTCTTTTTAAGAAAGCTTTGCCTGATTTTTTTTTTTTTTTTAATTTACAGTGATGAGGACTCCATGATCTTCCTAGCAATCTCATCACACACTTAATTACCCTTATTATTAGGAATTTTTTTCAGAATTCCAGATGTTTCAAAAGCAGAAGTTGGAAAATTTTATCCTGGATGATTTATACCAAATTACAGAGAAAGTTACTGAAGAGCCAGAACACCACAACCCTGCCCCACAAGATGATGCCTCAGAAGTGCAAGTTAGAGCACTATACAGCATAATGCAAAAGGATTGAGAGAGGGGGCATGTCAGGGATGGAATGAGAAAAAACCCTGGAGGGGAAAAAAAAAGACCATTTTCTTTTCTGACCTTTTTCTTTTCAGGAGATGTATGGTTACTTTTGTTGTTCTCGCCTTCCACTTCCCTATCACAGGTGAGGGGATCATGTCCAGGATCCAATTTCTGCCCATTCCCAGGCTCCTGCTCCAAAGGTTTCCATCCCGCAAGATTGACTCCAGCTGCACACCACAGCTAAGTAACAGAAACAGGAATCTTAAACTAAGAATTCCGGAGGATCCAATGTCTCTTTAAATTCAGTGACCTTTGTAGAGAACTGTGGACATATGTCAAACACCTAAAGTATTTAGCTGGAAACAACAGATCTTGTTGATTTCTACTAGAAGACACAGTCAGATTTGATGGAGGCAAGATAAAGGTTCTCTGTAACCTAGCGAAAATCACTATTTCTTTAGCAGATGTGACTAACAGATTTAAAGCAAATAAAGAGAATACATCAAGTGGATAACTGGAAACAGGCTTCTGAAACGTCCTCAATCTTTATGAATCTGGGATTCCTTTCCTAAGTCATTGTAGCAAAGCAAGCAGGACATGGCAGATGTAACTAGCTCAGAGTACAAAAAGCATGACCGCTTAACTAAAACTGACAGTGACTGCTTGGCTGAGGATACACCTTCAGTGCAGGATATTCCTGCTCCCTAGTCCCCCTCTCACCCCCTTGCACCCTTCTGCTTCCTCACACACTCCTTTGCCACAAAAAAATCAGTGTTTTTCTGATCTCAGAGAGCTATTTAAAGAACTAAGACAGCAAAAAATGAAGTTAAAAAAAAAAAAAAAAGGAAAACCAAAAAGAAAAAAATCTACTGGCCTAGCTCCCTACATACCAAGTGTACAGTGAAAGAAGCACACTGCACATTTTCTGAAATCAAATGTAGCTAACCTCCTATGAGCTATTTCCAGAGAGTTTTTTAGGACAATGCTGAGAACAGGGCTACAGAAACAAATACTGGATTTATCCAAAGTCATAAAGGAAAGAAAGATGCTGAACAGAACATTATCCAAAGATCATGCGAATCTTCTAGAAACAGCTAACAGCCTAAGAATTTTCTTACACCTTAAACATCAGAACAAAATCTAAAAATCAGCTCTGAATGAAGTTAACGACAAACTTCCTGTTTCAAAACAGCTAATAATAGCAGATAAACGTGCTACCTGCAGAGAGATGACCATCTATTCCCAACCGCAATTCTACTCAAAATATTCTACTATTGATAGACACAGCTTCACAAAAATCTGCTCTAGATAATTCTGGCCTGTTACCAGTGAATCCTGGTCAACAGTGGAATCTAAAAAACAGTGATGAAATGCATTTTTACTTTCACCTGCTCATTTTAATTAATTTCTATATTTTTTGTATTATACCCTAAGGAGTCTTAGCAAAAGCCTTATAAGCATAAAATGTTGCTGATATTATATGAGTTGTCTCAAAAAAACATAAGACGTAAGACAGAAGCACGGGACCTAGCAACCAGAATCAGCTGAGATTTATGTCCTTACAGAGAGGTACTTTTCCCTACGTACACTAGAAACCACCATTCAAAAAAAGGAAGCAGAAGACAGAATTTGGAATATATAATGTAAAGAACATAGAGATTGTTGTAAAAATTGCACATTTTGCGAACAAAATTCTTCACTTATTCCATGTTCCCTTTCTGGACTGGAATGGTACGCAGAGACAACATACCTTCATGGTTGGGTCCTTCTCTACTAGTGGGCGACAATAGACAGGCACGGGGACATTTTTCATGCGAGTGTCTTCCTGACCACCATTGGGACTCAGCTGTGGGGGAAGAGAAGATGAAGAAGACACTACAAAGCTGGAAACACCAGGCTACGGTAGGAGAGATGTCACCAATATGACAGAACTGAAATTACTAGCCTCAGAGATGGGTGTTGCTGAGGCTTCATCTCACATCTTGTATGAAACAAGAGTCCCTAGAGGGATGGGAGCAGCCTACCCAAGAGACTGCCTCTCACACCATCATACTGTGCCCCTGCTACAGTCAGCAGAGGCTATCTGCTGCACTGCTGACAGAGGAAGCATTGTTAACAGATGCTCCCGGCAAAGAAGTCAGAACACTGGCGTTCCCTTCCATCACGGCCTGAAACTCATCCACTTCCAAGCCACACCGCAAAACTCCTTCCCTTCAGGTGGTCTTTGACCAATTCAACGAATGGGCCAACAAATGAGGCTGATGACATTAGATTTTCTGTTACTGCTGGGGAGAAGTGGGAGCAAACTGCACTGATTTGGTTACGATTGGTAAAGTTCTCAGAGTATAAATTAAATATTGGATGTTCAAGCCCAATTATAATAATAAAGGAAGTAAAAACAAGTACTGGGCTCTAGAAAAAGAAGTTTGATTACTTTTGGTTTAGAGTAGGTTCCTTCAACATCTTCATGCAGAGGAATGCCATCTCCATTGACTTTGTTGGAGATACAGAAAAGATTAATTTGATCCGTGCCTACAATTACTATACAAATAAAACATGCATATGATACCTCTAAATGAAATATTTAAGGACTAGGGCTAAGATTACCAGTGGGAGAGTTAGGTCTTCACTGGTTTCACTGTGAGGGACGATGTCCCCTCGGCCTGTCCAGAGAGTGGTCCTTACCTGCTTGTACTTGGCAGGGAGGCTCCAGCCACAGGCCTGCAATCGCCCGTCATCATTCCGCACGTGCTCCCGGACCTGGCGGTACTGCTCCCGTTTCTGCTCGCGACGCGCTGAGGACGTGCAGTCACTGAGGAGAGAAGCAACAGCATTACTTCTCAAACTATGGTTCAAAAGAGAAGCTGACGGTTAAGGGAGTGTTGCCATAGCAGAGGGAGGAAACACAAAGCAAACCAAATCCATCTTTGAAAACAGATACCAGAAATCGGAGAGAGAAAAACACCCTCAAGCAGCAGACATAGGCATCTCTAATCGCTATCTCCCTGTTACGTGGGCAATGTGGCAGGCCAAGTCATTGTCATCTCCACTTCAGTGCTCCAACAGCCCTTCAGAACAGAGAATCAACCTTCCGTAAGACCTAGGAATCTATGAGATTACACCAATTTTTGCTTAGCTGTTAACAATCTGCTGATCTCAATTCTCCATCAGGAAGGCATTTTGAGTTCTCCCCTTTTCAGAACAGACAACTATATATTTTTCTGTCCATTTAAAGCTGACAAGGAAAATCTGCACTAACTGCTGTTGAAAATCCTGGTTTCAACAGAACAACTCCAGATTTGCAAAGGTAAAAAGAGAAATTGATCTGTGAGCTCTTAAGATATGCTTTATTACAAACAAAGGCTGTTTGAATACCAGTTCCAGCTCTCAATAGATTTTTAAAGTATCAGTCCAAGGTTCAAACAACATCAGCAAAAAAATCCAATCCAAACCAAAAACCCCTACACACACACACACACAATGACATATACTTAAAATCAACCCCCTGCTAAAACAAAACACTTCCCTGCACATGCTTCCTCCCCTGGGGAGAGGATGAGAGAACAAACAGCTTCTGACAGCGGTTAGTCACATCATTCATGCACTGCTGAAAAGCACTCAGACACCAGACAATGACTATGATATTGTAATCAGTTCAAAAGAACACAATAAAGGCAGGGGTTACCTGTAAAATAAAAATACAAATCTACCCTTCTAAAGACAGTCTTTCCCCTGATCTACCACCTTTCCACCAATCCTTCTCATTGCAGAAGTTATAATACTTTACCATCACATTCTCCAAAGTCCTTCCACAAAAACATAACCACAAGTGAAAATGTACAACCTCCTCATGGTCGAACACACACATTTTGAAGTGAAGGAGACCACAGAAGAGTTTTCTCCCTTCATGTCAGAGACATAAAGAACAGGGAGAAGACTCTGCAGTAGCAACATTTGCAGTCTCCTTTTTAGCACAGTTAAGATTAAAACCTAATATTGTAACCTAAATGTGCTGTTGGGAGAACTCTTGTCTTCACCTAAACTCCTTGTCAACAGGGTTGGGCAAGACACTCCATCCCACTGTCCCAATGCTGCCATCACACTCCGCCACAAGAGCCCTACTTCATTCTATCACGCAGTCTGCAAACACAAGAGCAGAACTAGGGTTGAGGCTGACGCGAGCCAACAGTGATCCCTGCTGAGCTGAACCATCGTGGCTTAGAAAGCCACAGCAGCAACATGTTCGGGAGGACAAAGTTTCCTGAGCCTGTCCACATGGTAACGGCTGAGTGAAAAAACAGGGAGATAAACCACAAGAGATAGAAACATATTAACACCAAACAGGCTTTTTTTTTAAAGCTGAAAACAGCTTATTTGAAGAAAAGATGCTATTTGGGAGAGTTGCCGGGGAACCTGGCTCGGCACACAGCACGCGACTCACTCTTCAGGGAAGAACTCCAGCGTGCGGCTGCCGGAGGAGATCTGGCACATGGTGTGACTGCGACGCTGGCTGAACCCTGCTGTTGTTGGAGACTTGTAGTGGATGTTCACAGATGGGTAGGTCCTCTTTGCTGGTGGGGGACTTGAGGAAGAGCTGAACAGACGGCTGAAGCTAGGGACAGAGAAAGGCCAACAAATAAGAGAAAAGGTGCCTGGGGAGACAACACACCCAAGATTCACAACAGGGGAAGCAAGAAGTAGGCAATCAGGGGCTGTAAGCCCTTCGTGAAAACAGCTTTTTTATTTCAAGTCGGGCAAATTCCCCAGTTTGATTGATATAAAGTGGTTTTTAGCTTCCAGAAAGAGATGCCTTCTGAAAACAGCCCTTTATTAAAACTGATTGTGAGCATATGTTTTCATTCCAGGATACTTGTGATCTTTTTCAGCTTGTAAAACACCACCAATGCGGATGTTCAGACCTGATTTTAATTTCACTAAGGACAATGGAAACCCTTGAAGGCAAAAGCGTTCAGCTAACAACACTTTCAGTTGACGTATCATGAATGTCAGTCTATTAAGTTGCTGTCTAAAGTAGACATGGCAACACTTCCCCTTTTCTTAATCTTACACAAACCACCAAAAAACTTACAACTGCCAAATGGTGGATTTCTTCTTCTCCTGGACGGATGGGTGCTCACGGGAAGCTCTAAGGACAAACACAGCAGAAGCAAGTTAATTTCAGCATCTCTCACCCAAGCTTCTACCAACCAGTGGGCCATTTCCACCAAGGAAGCCATGTCAAAACCAGAATTCACTCCAACATGTTTCAAAACACAACAGAGGGAGTGACATGCACTGGTCTTTAATGTAAGCACACCCAACCACGTAATGGTTGCACATGAAGTGCAAGCAAGTGTGTTCAATTCAAAGTTTTATCAACTCCCTGCGACACTATTATTGCGGCAGTACTAGTCTGGTAACTACAAACCCCAGTGTTATATTCATTTCAAGCCACAGCCTTTAGAATTCATTACTCAGAAGCAACACTCTTCCCTACAGCTTCTTCTAGCTTAATTAGCACACAAGAAACAAGCAAGACAAACAGCCTCCCAGTGTCTCCAAACAACGATGGTAACTCCAGATTTGCAGCCCAGGTTCAGGAATAAGAGAGAATTAGGTATTAGGAGAGAAGCATCTACAGTTTGGAAAACTTTCAGCACTTCTCAACCCGTATCTTGGTAGGGATTCCATTGACCACAAGATCAAACATGGCTGGGTTTTGTCCTAAATAGGAATGTTCACCAACATCCAGTCTCACCTGATCATCTCCGTCCACCTGACAGCCTCCTGGAGCTCCATTAACCTCTCTTTGTATTGATTGCGCTCCATCAGAACCCGGGCCATTTCCACGCGGGTGAAGCGGCGGCGCTGAGCTATGGGAATGTTGTCCTGCAGGGGGGAGGAGCACTGCTTCAGCCAGCAAGAGATGGAAGGGGACTGATGTTAGTACAGGGCAAGTCAGGAGACACAAAGACATCTTTGTTAGTTCTCCTCCAGTTCTGTTTCATTGCCCCGATTTCCCCATATGAGGTGGTAATTCTGGACATGTGGACACCACAGACCTCTGGGGTGTTCTGCAAACCCATGGGAATTAGAATTAGAACCACCAAGAAATGGAAAACCCCACCCAGGGTTTATTGCCAGCAAGGTGCTTTGATAGTCTACGAGGAATTATGAGAATTGACAGTGGTCCATTGGTCCAGAAGTTTGGAAACCAAAGTTTTAGCTCATTAGCAAATCCCACGACAAGCAACAGGGAGCACCACGTAACACCATCCATCCCCTCAGGAGGACTAGGAAGGAGGCATTCTGTTAGTACACACTGACAAAGGTGTTAGTACACGCTGATTAAGGTGTAGGGCACAAGAAACTAAAGAAAGGCTTTCTCCTCTTTGGTGACACCATGTGGCCTTCCCATGAAGGCTAAAACTGAACCTGCTCCAATACCTTGCACAAAATAAGAACACAGTAATACTGGAAAGAAGAGTACCTAAGTCCTTGCCCCGGCAGAGCGACATTTACAAGGAAAAGCCCTGTTACCGCTTTGGTTTGCCTTTTTGTTTTGTTTTTTTTTTTCTTGGCTACAGTTAGAAGCCTCTACCTCAGCCAAAACAGTCTGAAGAGCTGTCAGAGAACAGTCCATGAGCCTTCTCTGCCTGTACCCTGGAACAGGGAGTACTGGCTTATGTAAAAGAAATAATTAAAAAAATAATGCGGCAACATTGAGATTACAGAACTAATAAAAGAAGGCAGCTACTGCTGCAAAGCTGTCTGCATAGCCTGGATTTCACTGCACAATGTCCTCATGGCTTACAGCTTCACTGCCACTGTGGAGACGAGCTCTTCTGGAGAAGCCTGCCACAAGACCCTGAGACAAACCACACTGCACACTACGTTGTAATTCAAAATTAGGGAGAACCAGATAAAATGGGAAGGTGCTGAGCTGGGCACTGCTCTAGCACCGTTCTGCAGAAACCATATTGTGCATGGTCTTGCTGCTGTGTCAGCTGCTCGTCTTTGCCAATCTATGGTTTGAAAGTCATATGAAGAGGTGACCTCATGGCATCTGTCTATTAGCAATGCTCATCAGCAATAACCTGCAGTTCACCAGCTTTGCCCTCATCATTAACGAAAAGGCAGCTCAATCTGCACCTCAGGACTCATATATATTAGGTAATACAGAGTAAGCATATAAACCCCCTTTCCCCACAGGCATTTTAGTAATGTAATATACCAATTCTGTACAGAGATAGCTGCTTACATCCTCCACCTCCTCTTTGGGTTCTCGTCGGGCAACAATCGCTTCAGATTTCACTCTAGGAAACAGGAAGAAAGGCATCAAACCAGCAAGTGATACCATGGCTAGCCCCAAGTTGTTCTGGAAGAAGAACCATCTACAGGAAGGTCTGCCTGCATGCATCACAACCAAACATTTTCAAACTGTGAACTAAGTGTACAAATGATGAGATGCTTCTCTGATATTTTTCCCTCTCTCTTGTGGTGTGTTACTCTCAACAGCTTCACCAACATTACCCCATTTCTTTGGAACATTTGATGGAAGCACCAAAATACTGACCACTGGAACAGTCCAGCTAATTTCTTTTTCTCTGGCATAATCTATGTTCAAATGTTTGATGAGATCTTAACCATGGGAAAACCGAGCCATTATCAGCAGTGAAAATGATGGCTTAAGTTCTTCTGGGCTGCTTCTGTTTCCAATGCAGTGAAAAAAAGCCTCTAATGTGAAGGTCAGTTGCCATAACGGTGAAGAAGAGAACACCAAATATGTGCTAATAAAAGTACTTAACTGAGTGCTTTTGATTTGTTTAAACTCCATACCAAGGTGCAGTCCCACCTGAATTACAAGCACTTTATTAATAGGAAAAACACTGCAGAAGAAAAATGCAGTCTCCATCTCTTAAAAAGGCACACTTGCTACTGCATAATATATATATTATGAGAGACTAAGGAGCCATTTTTAAAAATCAGACCTATTTCTACTGCTTGTGAGACTACTTTCATTTCAGACATTTTGAGCAGCGAAGAGACCGGTCTGTATGATTCTTGGTGATTCTGTGTGCAGATGACAGAGGCAGCCTTCCAGATTCCAGCTGCAAAATAAACGCTGTCTTCTAAACTGAGATACCCCAGTGCAATGTACAGCTAGTCAAAATGCAATTATGTTGCTTTGAGTCTCATGGGGTATCTTTAGCTTTATGGATGTGAAATCATCACAGGCTTTGCTAAGCATTCAGGCTTCGGCTTCTCCAGTTTGAGTGGAAAATAAGAAGTGGGATCTCTCCAAATGCTACCCGCATAGGACTTTAAAATCTCTTCTGCCTCTTCTTCTCATTCTTAACATGAATAACGAAACAATTAACAATACTGTCATTTAAATATTGTTTGTGGAAATCTCTATTGGCTCTTTCATTAAATGAATGGGTACTCATTCCTCTCGGAGCTGTCTTGGCTCCTGCGAGGATCAAGCTCTTGATAGTTTCCTTCAAAACTACTGGTTTTGAAATTCCCCCCCTGTTTCTCCTTAAATTGCAAATTCAAACTCTGAATGCTTCACTCCAGGAAGCCCGGATTTGCAGTTGCAGTTGTTGCTGCAGAATCTTGGAGCTGGGAAGAAAATTCTGCAGTTTTCTAAGGTTCAATGGTGCACTTCAATCCAATAAAAACAATGGAACACTAAAAAAATCTCAGCCACCTACCACCAGCCTTGAACTGCTCTGTAAGGTACCTCTGAATTCCAACACTAACCTCCAGGAGGGAAACTGAGTAAAACTAACAGAGGAGGCGGGTTTATCACTCGTGTCCTCCTAGCTCCCTGAGGCAGAGTGCGAACCACTCACCTTTTCAGCTCCTCCTCCAGCTCCTTGACTCTGGTTTCCATTTTGGCTTTGGCCTGCTTTGTTGCTTCAAGCTCTCCCTTCAGCACTTCCTGCTCTCCAGACAGCTGGTCCACCTTGGCAATCAAATCATTCTTCACAACGTTCAAAGCATTTCTTAAAGGTGTGAAAGGGACAATAAGCAAAAACGCCCAAAACCAGCAGCTGTCCATAAGACAGACCTGAAACTAAAGTCACAGGCACTACAAGGAGAGTTGAAACGAGTGTATTCAAACAATTCCATCGAGCTACAACTCATGGAAAAACAGATTTTGGCAAGAAGGAGTTGCAGAACACAGAGATCACCATCACTGGTCAGTGTGAGGTCTGTCCAGTACTGCGTCCTGACTGACTGACCAACATCTCCTTAAGATGGCAGAATACTGCAGAAGCAGGTGTAGGGTAACGTTATCACCTGCACAAGGTTCAAATCTATTTTTAACAAAATGAAGGTCTGAAACATGCCTTTCAGAACTGCAGTTATGTGCAATTATGGATAATTGTGGATGATGGTGTTATCAAGCACTTCCAAACAGCTCTGGAATATTTTAAAATCAGCAGCTTCCTATCACAGTAAGTTCTCCAACTCTCCCCCGGTAGTACTTTGCCTTCCCCTTCCTGGCTGCTTAGCTTTAAGTATCTGGTTTGCCAGCCTTTCTCAAAAAACAAGTCCATTACATTGTCTGATTCTCCTTTATCTATTAAACTATTTTATCTTTGAAAACTCTCCTCAATAGTAAGATTTTTTTTTTCCAAATAGCAAACCTTGCAAATAAAAACTTATAAACAGCAATATCCTCACAGAGGCTCTGACCCACGTCTAGATTCCCACTGAAGTTAATTAAAAGCTTGCCATTGATTTCAGTTGGGATCAGACCCTACCAGCACATGCCCAGAGACTTCACCCAAGCGCCTGCAGGAAGGAAACAGTTAGGAAAGTTGCTCAGAAGAGCAATTCCTCTTCTCCAATTGAAGGAACAACAAGCATCCAAGAGAACCTGTTAGATAAATGAGCAAGCCCCTGTGGAGCAGGAGTTACAGCCAAGACCTACTTCAAGATGACATCTCACTGAGAACCAGGCAGGAAGTTCAGAGCACACAACAGTTCCTTACTTGGTCTCCAGTAGCTGCGAGTTCTCCAACAGCAGATTCCCCACTTCTTTGCCCATTCCTGAAAAGAAAGGCCAGGCAGTTTTCACCTGCTCTCTTAGAAATATGAAGTTTGTGTGGCACTGCCTGACTCATGCTTGAGGAAGAGAAATCACTTTCGTTAGGCTTCCCTAGGCTTCTGTGTCCTGCTGTGGGGAGTGGAGTGCCTCTTGCCGCAAGACCACGCAGCTACAAGGGAAGACACCCATGTGTCCTTCTGTAAAGAGCCCAAATGCAGAGCTAGCTTCTTACCCCAACTTTCACAGACTCCCTCGCAAGGGACAGAGGAGTGCTTCACTAATGCCATCCAGGGCAAGTCAAGCCAATAACTCCTGGTTTAGCCATGAGCTATTGCAACCATTTTTTATCATCGCTCATACAGAAAGAAGGTAGAAGTTCATGGGTTTTTCAGAGAGGGCAGCAGAACACTGTCCAAATTGCTACCCAGATCTGCACACCAGTGATTTTCTCTCTTTATTAGTATAAACCAAATTTTCTGTTTCTCAGTACAGATTTGGGATCTTGGTTGCAACCAGTTTCATGCACATGAAAGGCTTCCCATGATCAGCCTTCCACCTGAGCAATTTTAATAGGACTTTAGATTGCCCATTGCTCTATCTACCTTTAACAGTTTTCTCATAGATGTTTAAAATCTGAAGTCTCAGTCCTTTCACTTAAGACCCACACTCAAGAAAACATTCACATCAGACACACTGCGCTCGCACTTGGGCATCAACATTTGATGACTATAATACGCAGACTGCGTTGCAAGCACTTTGAAAAATCTGGGGCTAAGAGTGAAGGTCGAATTCAGTATTTCACCATCAGTGTTTGTGCTGAAGTGCTCCTTGTCCTGCTCTCTGAACTACTTCTTTCTTTACAGCAAAGACATCAACAGTTTTCATGATCTGTTATTTGCTGATTAATTAATATTTGCAGTAAAATAAAAACAACACAAACTTGAAGTAAATGGAAGTTAGAGAAACATGGTAGCATACAAGAAGTGAGAACACATCACAACACTCCAACATACAGATCCTCTTCCCAAAGGTAAATGGGATTAATTTATGATGGCAAAAGCAAATTCCCAGCAAGAATGAGTAAGAAGCAGCATTTTCAAATAACTTTTGAAAAACTAGTAGACAGATAATCACTTTGATGTTTCAGGCAATAGGTTCTCTGGATGCTGTGTCAAAGAATATTGCAAACAGCAAAAAAGTGAGACACTAACTGCAGTGTAAAGTGAAGCATATTTTTGCTTTGGTAAGGTGAATGGCCTATGGCCCTTTCTTTCATGGCATGCCACATGTTGATCAGAAGACCAAGTAATCATATGTTTATTAAATTATTTTCTTATTGCTTTTTAGTGATCCTACAAATGGTCAGATAAATAAATAGCCAGTAAGGCATTAAAATGCCACAAGGATGTTACAGGTCCTGAGGGATATCAAGAGAAAGAGTTCATCGTCAGTTTTTTTGGACTAAATCTTTTCCTCCCCATTCTTGAGTCATCTATCCCTCTCTGTGGCTGTTTTGGGGACAGAAAGGAATTCTGGTGAAGAGGGTGAGCTATCTTGACAGAACTAAAAGTCATACAGCACCAACCACCAGTATCCTCACTACAGCTTCTACCTTATTGGTGTGTGACACAGTCACAGCCCAACGCTTTGAACAGTGAGAGGGTCTGAAGGGCTGTTCTTGCAAAAAAGAAATGGATGATGCCATCCCAGAGCCATAGAATTGACACTATGAGATAACCTTGTGCAGGCTGTAATGGGAAAGCCCTGCTCATGGGAAAACAAAACACTGTGGAGTGACTAAAATGAAGTATCTTCACCCCTTTGTGGTGTGGAGCAAAGGGAAGAGAGGTCTGGACAGAGCCCTGTCTAACAGAGCCCCCATCCTACACTGTTCACCTCCCACGGCCAGGCAAATAGTGTGAAGCATCAAAGTGGATAATCAACTACAAGAAACAGAGGAGAATCCCCAAACCACCACCACTGACCAGCTGCGTCCTGCTTCTTGGAGAGGTGATACCACCATCACAAAAAAAACAACCAAAGTAATGCAAGACAAATGGAGGGATGTTGAGTGAATGGAAGAAGTTTAGAAAAAATACACATTAAAAACAAAAAAAAAAAAAAGAAAAAAAAAGAAAAAAAAAAGGCCTTCGCCTTACCAAAGAAATCATCCCGTACTATGAGAGCCATCCCATACGAGAAAGGGAACAGAAAGAGATGGGGACAAAGGGGAAAAAAGGAAGAGAAAAAAAGCAGCCATTAAGTACCAGTCTGTAAATAGCAAACAGAGCAGCTCATCAGCATGTGTACATCTGTGTGTGGTGCCAGGAGATGCAATGCCCAGCAGTGACTAATCTACACCCTGTCCTGCTGCAGGCTGGCCTAATAGGGATTCACACCTGAGCCGTCAGGACAAACTCAAGGCAAGCTCATCTGTTTCGTCCATCTTCATCATTTCCCTTGGACTACATAGCTTTGGGTTTCCCATTCCCACAACAAAGGTAGTTCAACAGACATCATGAATAGGATGAGGGTAGGACAGGGGGCAGGAGTACAAACAAAAGGGAGGTGGATATCAAAGCTCTCATCTGGTCTTTTTGCACAGGCCCAAATCCACCTCTGCGCTGCGACAAACTCCACTTTGGCAGGAGGTTTTCTGAGAAAGGACCATGAAAAAGTGCCTCACAGTAAAAAAAGTTTGAACTAAAAGAAAGGATGATGCCATCCCTTTCTTTTGTAACCTCAGAGAGGCAACACCAAGAGGTGCCGGGCAAAGGAAGGGGAGAGAGCTTATTGCCGCACAGCATGATGCCATGGCATCTGCGTATAGTCACCTGCCATTACTACAGGGAAAACTTCATTGAATTTGCACAGAAATCAAGAGACATCCCCTTGACTTCATCTGAAATTGATTCAGGGCCTAATGCATTTTATGGAAAAGTGCAAACTCTGCACGCGTTGAGCCTACTGGCCTTCCAACAACAGAGTGTGGCCCTGAGGCCGTGAGCCTCCTTCACCAGAACAACAGACAGAGCTATCACTTACACTCCTGCCAGAAAGGCAAAGCTTCAACGAAAGACAGAGGCTTTGCCACTCCAATCCATCAAGAAAGGGTCTTTAATGTCACTATAGCTATTCCAGAAAAGGGCCAGTACACATCAACTAACCCCAGCAGCCATCATGAGGTTTAGGCTGGATATTAGAAAAATTTCTTCACTGAAAGATCAGGCATTGGAACAGGCTGCCCAGGGAAGGGGTGGAGTCACCATCCCTGGAGGGGGTCAAGAAACGTGTGGATGTGGTGCTTCGGGACATGGGTTAGTGGGTTGGGTGGTGCTGTGTTGACGGTTGGACTTGATGATCCTTGAGGTCTTTTCCAACCTTCATGATTCTATGCTTCCATGCACACAGAGGGACTCCTCAGCATGGTTTGGAGTGTGGGAACCTAACTCAGTCCTGTGCCCACCCAGAGCTCTGCTCCAAGCACAGCACCCATTCTGACAGGAAAAAAAAAAGCAGTTTGAGTCCCAAGACCTTGAGTGACAGGCCAGTGTAACACAGTGGAGCAAACCTGCAGAAAGCCACACAAGAAAAGCTCATTGAGAGGCCGCAGGCGCGTGAGCGCAGAGCGGGGAAGTCCTGCTGCCCCCGGGGCCCACCGGTGCAATGCAACCAAGCGAGGTGGAGGTGGGAGAATTCCGCAAAGCCAGCCGTGTTTGGACAAGAGCAGGGGAGTATCACACGTGTATACCATGTCATTCAACCTCAACAAGGGAAAAAGAAACAAAGGAAACTGAGCAGAGGAGATACACACCTGAGAACTCCCCTATGGGCCATGTCCAGCGAAGCACAGAGAGACAAGGGAAAAAAGGAAGTGAAAAAAGGATCAATCAGTGACTGAAACCAACAAAACAAAAATTTTGTTCCAAAAAAATTAACAATGATTCAGCCATTTCAATGTCAAAAGGCATGAAAGGACAGGACCTGCCATGACTGTAGATGGCATGACTCTACATACAGGACATAAAAAAAATCAAGGGAAGGTAACCCGTGGTACAAATGCAACCACATTCCTTAGCTACTCCCGATTTTCCAAACATGAATCTCAGGCAATCACATCTTCCTGGACTGGATAAACCTTTATTTTCTCTTTATTTAGTTGTGTACCACTAAATGCAGAACAGCTAGTTCCCACTACCTTCTCATTTCCCCTCCCCTTGTGATTTTAGCAACTAGATCTTCTGATAATAAATGTGCTCTTCAATGATACTTCAGCTTGCAAAAGACAATTAGTTGCATTTAAAAACTCTTTTCTTTCTTTTTTTACAGTGCAGTGCCGGGACTCAGTTTGATAATCCCATTTCAACTTCCGTACGAAAAACTAGACATGAACTTACCACTAACATGGCTGAATTCCTGTCTTCACCACAAAACCCCTGCTACTTGAAGGGAAGTTTTAATCTCCAAAGCAAACACAGCTGGGCATCCTAAAACCAAAAGGAAGGACCTGCCCATAGCACACAACCAAACCGCTAGTGCTCCTTTGTGATCAAAAGCTGCTGGGATAGGGAAGAGCAGGAAGGGGGAGATAGGAAAAGGGGGAACCTACCCAGGATCGGGAGGTAAGAACCTGTGAACCTTCGATTAACAAGTGAATATGCAGGAAAACAGCCAACTAGTGTTCCTAAGGCTGCAGTGAGAAAGTAGGAAATGTGGTCTACAGTTAGCACTAGTAAACTATTTATTCTACATTTTTCTCCAGAATACTTCCTACACAAACTCATGTACATAAAGCAGTACTATAAGCAGGGGGGGAAATCTACATATTTTATTTATTTTATATTCAAAAATTGACATGGAGATTGCCAATTTTGTACCAAGAGAAGTTGTTCACTTTGCAGATATCCAGAAGGAACAACTGAGATTTTTCCATTCAAGAAACAGACTTGCCTGCCAGCTACTGCTCAAGGGCAGACTTGCCTGCCAGCTATTGCTCATTCCTTAAGAAACTGAGCCCAAAAGGAGAGAATATTCTTTGAAGATTGATTGCCAAGTTTTGAGAGAGATGAGAGGAAGTATTCAAATTTCACTTAGGTCGGGTAAACATCATTCTTTCAATTTAGAAAGAGAAGTGAGCTCCAAATACAACCCAGAAAGAGACCTCTTTCAGCTTGTGGATCTTGTTTCTTACAACCATAATGTGCAGTTTCTTCTGTGGCTCTTCAGACTCAAAGGTACAGCAGGAAGAGAGAACAATTTATCTAACAAAAAAGCCAAATTCTGAATAACGTTGACAGATTTGTCGGTACTAAGATCTAGCCTTTTGGTTCCACCTTTACCAAACTTTCTTAGTGCTTTCTATTGCACAAAGCCCCCCTCCCCGACAAAAAAAAAAAAAAGTATAAATCTAATTTCTTCATCAGAGACATGATGTCTAAGATCTCTCTCTGCCTTCCTCCCTGTGTACAATCCTGGGAACATGTGTGTTCATTTTAAAGAACACTTTAAATGGTGGACAGAGTCAGCAGCCAGAACTCAACAAAAGGATTATTTAGATTAATGTTTCTCACAAGCAACTCATAGAACTACCTGATTTCATCACAGCTCCTCTCCCAGGTTTGAAAAGGAACCCGGAGAAGCCTCCTCTATTCTGCTAGCCTGCTGTGCAATCACTTGCTCAAACCAGAGAACTGTCTCAGCACAGAAATGTACTCTTCACAGGCCACACTACGTGGTCTCCACAAGCCACCCTTACACGGGCACTGCTCAACAAAGTGTCTGTATGCTTTTATTACACATGGTAACTGCCAAACAGCAGATGCCTCACAATGCAAAATCAATCCCTGGTCTTTGGGCAGCCTTATTACTGGAAGAGGTGAAGCACCTTTGGCTTTAACTGAAACTGTGGTGATCAACCTCGCAAGGTTTGGGCAACTAAAATCTCTGGCCCTTGAAAACAACAGTTTACATTTCTCACTGATGGCTGGGTCAGACTACAGGGTAATGCAGAGGAAGTGAACTCCCAGAAGGCAGGCTTCCAAAAGTGCAAAACAGGTTGTATGAAGCAGTTCATATACCAGGCAAATAATTTTCTGTAATAGTTATTCTTAGAAGCTGACAATCCCTGATGCTCCAGCCATTTTAGGGAGAGAAGAAAAGCAGCAGCTGGCACAGTGAGTAGTGGAAGACAGCCATATAATGAACCATGTACTCTCCTAGGTAAAGAAGCACATGAGGACCAAGATGAAATAGATGGGCAATGGCAACATTGTCAGTGTTTTTCATGCTTGGATGGGTGCTAGGAAGAGAGTTCCCAATAACGTACGGGGGCTGGCTAACCAAAATTCATTCCACAGCATGTAGATGAAGCTTTAACCAGCACATGTAGTTCCTACTGTCATCTTTAAGCAGGAGTCCCAGCCTTTCTGCAATGACTGCTAACATCCAGGGGCTTCTCAAACCTGGAAATATTGCTTTTCCTTCTAAATTCTTAGTTTTGTAAGTATCCGCACACATTGGCTCCAACTGCAGGCAGAGAAAGCCTGTGCTTTCATCTTGACTCTTCTGTTTTTTTCTTCTGGCAATCTTGAGTTGGAGGTGAAACAATAGCTGTTTTAACACTTCAGGCAATGGTCATCAATCCATGCAAAAGAGCTCTCTTGCATGTTGTGGAGCTAGCACCATGCTTCAAAAAAACCCCAAAAAACCCTATCCGTATCCAAAAGGTATTGCAAGCATTCTGATGATAGTCTGGAACACATCCTTCCATTCTGGTCACACTATTGCCTATAATAGTAACAATTTCACAGATTTTTGTCTATGAGAAAGCAAGAAATATTGCATTAACCTCCTTTCCAGTCTTCAGTCCGCATCTTCATAGCTAAGTCTTCAGTGAACAGGGTAAAATCTATCCTTTCTGCAGAAACACGCCCTTTGAGAGGGTCCTGATAGAAGATTCATATTCAAAAGTGACACAAGTTATCTTCCTAATTTAAGTTCTGCAAAGGTGAGCTACTCTAAATCTGTGACATGATTCAGCTCCTCCTGTTCTCGACATATACAGAACCAAACTTGTGAGATTCTCCATAAGCAGCTCTTACATCAGTAATCACTAGAAAGGAGAAGCATACTTTCAGACCAGATCTCTTCCTACTAGATGCATAAAAGGCATATTGTTGGAGTCCTCAGGTGTCCTAAGGCTCTTTAAATCAAGAGGTAAAATGGAAAGCGAGCTACACAGTTACAAACTTTGTCAGCTGCCCGTGTTGTCTGAGCATTCAAAGACCACTCATATTGTCCTGATTCATGAAAACAGTCAGCAGGACTTAGGAGCATGCTTAAACTCTGCCATGAATTAAGGTCTAGACACTCAAGAGTCCAACACCAAAAAGTATGGCATGGGCTCAAACTGCTACCCAAGGCAAAGCTGTTTCTCTGACTGCTTCAGGGTCCTAGTCAGGAATATGGAATATAACCAGACTGCATCTATTACAAGCTCCTCCAGAATCAGCCTAAAACGTGAATTACTACCTCTATTAGGCTGACTATAAAAGGGTAAAACCTGCAATACAGACCATAATATTTACATATCATTTAAACTTCAAAAACTTAACAAAAGGAGTTATTTTCTTGCAAATTTCAAGCACACCTTTTACTCCAAGTAACATTGCTAGTGTGTAAAATTACCAGGGAGAAATTTGGGGGAGGAAGAAGAAGCAGCAAATTTTGTCTTCGAACTATTTGCATGGGAGAATCCTACTAAAAAAATAACTTACACACATAATGACAACCCAAGTAAAAGTTACCCAACAGTTTAAGTAATTTTCTAAGCATTACTGTACTGCAGGTACGTATTTCAGTCACGTAATGTCTCAATTTCCGTGCCTTTTTTTTTAAAGCTAAACATCCAACTTTTGAAAATAAAAAAGGGAATTTAAGTGCTTCTACAAGCTTAATATAGTTGTCATTGTACCAGAGAAAACAGAATGGTTATAAACAAATTTTTACCTAGCAGATCTGCTCCTTCATCAACATCTCCGATAACCTCAGACCCCGCGGTGGAAAGTTCATGATACAGAGAGTCTGTGTTGATGCCAAACGCTTTGTTCACAATCCCCTGCGTTGGGCTGTTGTTGGAAGGAAAAAGAAAAAGAAAAAGAAAAAGAAAAAAAAAACAAAGACTCTTGTTACTTGGCAACGCTTAAGCTAAAACATTTCTCTCTGAAATACTAAGCATCCCAGACCATTGCTATCAAAAGCCTGAGAGAACATTTCACCTGCTCACCATGTGCTGATTCAGGGAACGTATTGGGTAAAAAAACCCCCATGTTTTATTCCCCATATAAAGGACAAGTACCCATCATGCACAACCTCAAAGCTCACCCAGCTGACTTCCTTTGAAATCATAATAGTTAATGACTATTCAATATTTGACAGAAAGATTTCAACTCGCAGAAGCTCTCAGCTCCAGCTCTGCAAGGATTCCCACACTTCTCTCAATTCAGATAGCAACCTTGGATAGCAGTAAGATCAGATAAGGACTCAAATAGTGAACAAAGAAATGGTCTTTTTACTTCACCAAGCAGCAAGTGAAATCAGCCCGAAGGGTTATTTTCTTCTTTGGGTGAGTCTATGCACCAAAATGCTTCTTCACATGTCAGCAGAATGTATTTCGTTAAAGGTAAATCAAAGTTAATGTTTTCTAATCACATCATACAGGAGCACACCCCCGGGCATCCTCTTTCCACCTCTTAGTGTCTTTGGTACCATAAAGAATCTTCTTGCATTTCTTGACAATCTCACAGCTCAAACAGAAAACAGCTGGTACAGGAGGTGAAGGTGAGGAAACCTCTGGGATTGTCACTGCCTACTCTAAAAAATGGTCTTTATGTGGGTATAAACACCCCGCTTTGTATGAGGGGAATCAGCCAGCATGAAGAGAGGCTGTGCAGTTTTCCCAGCGCTCTAACAGAAAGGTCAGCACTGCTAAAGATTATCTCAAGCTGTGTGGCTTCATTCTTAAATAAATCAAGTCTCGGTGATAAAGGCTACTAATGGGGTGCGGTAGCTGCCTCTGATATTGCAGAGTCACAGCACATTGCAGAGAAAAGGAAAAAAAAAATAGGTTGTTTTTTTTTTAAACTACAGAAAAATTACAGCTACCCAGACACCTGAGGAGTTACAACTGGGTGCCATGACTGCACCAAAATTAATCAGTTCATGCAGTCTAATGGACAGCACAAGTGACAAGAAGCAACCAGCACTCAACCTCTAACCTGAAGACCTAGTCCAGCTTGAACCTACCTCTTCAGCACCCAACTTTCAGAAGCTGTATAGATCTCAAAAGCCTTCTGCTTTGAGAACAGCAAGCACACCATTCAGCAGCTCCAGAGTGAGCTCGTGTCTCCTGCAGCTTTCAGTCTCGCTACCTGGACCTGAGATCACCGGCTGAAGACCTCCCAGTGCAGCAATCCTCTCTGCTCCCTTCTTTTCCTTCCGTTTGACCGATTTTTGATCTGATCTCATCTGTCATTTTTGTCTTCCCCGCACAGAGCTGTTTCAACTACCTAGATTCCTCCTGCATCTGACCCTAAAAACTGCCCATGCATCCTACAGATTCTGAGGGGAGCTTAGCTGTATGTGGCTTCACAGCTGAGAAATGCATCTGTTATTGCTGCTCATACCCTTCTCCGTGAGGATGCTCAACAGGGGAAATCTAGTCCAGATTTGGACTGTGAGAAAATCTTGCCTTGACTTTGTCAGGATATTATCTTATGCATACCTGTAAGAGCTAGGGGGTTATTCTTGCTGGTGTAGTGCCAAATTACCCACTGCACCAGGGTAGAAATTAATGAATCCTGTAAAACTAACCACCAAACTTTAGTAAAAATAAATCAAGGTATTTAGACACAGGTATTCTACACTAACACATGCCTCACAGAAATAGGGTGCCAAAACTAACAGACTTTAGGGAGATAAATTAGGGAGCTAAATAGGATTAGCACAAAATGGGTGATGGATAGGAACCAGAGCAGCAGAGTGGTTCAGTAAAAGTCTGCTAATTCAGAGGGCTCTGTCGACATCCTGGCTGCACTGATGGGTCAAAATTGCTCTGACCAGCCTCACCTGGGACCCACCCCCACTCACTGGTCCAACAGCTGCCTTTAACCTCAGACTTGCGAGTTCAGTACTCCTCTGAGCTACACGGTAGGTGTTCCTGTCTTCAGCCTTGTCTCCTGATGCTCATGGGTAGCACTGGGACCTTATTTATCTCCTTGTCTTGTCTGGAGCTGCTGATGGAGCTCGTTATCAGTGCTCTGCCCTCTCTGCTCAGAACCCGTAGGACTGGGAGCACTGGGGTTATTCCCGCTTGTCCTCTCTCATGGAGTAGCCCTGCTCTTCAAACACTTGAAAGAATTAAAACTGAAAAAAGCTGGAGGTTCTAAAACTGAATTCAGAAATGATCTCTTGTTAGAAAAATGCATCTTTTCCCTCTTCCTGGTAGCTGAAGCCCATGTCCCCTTTACCTATTGTCAACCTTTTCTTGCTCCATCTCTCTGTCCTCCCTTGATCCAGCAAGGCAAACAAGCCCTGTTCTGGGTCAGCTGGACAGATCCTTCTGCAGATCACCAGCAGCTATTTGCCTTCTCTGGAGAACTCAAAGAAGGTCAGGACCCCTCATATTCACACACCACAGAGTATATGGACTTTTTCAAACAGCTGCATCATGAACTCAGCGTGAGCCACAGCATCCATTCCTCACTCCTCATAAAAGCAGTCTAAAGAGCACACAGTGAAGAGTCGCAATCGATACCTGTTACCAGGGCGTTCCAGGCGGGGGTCTTGACACATATCCAGCTCTGGAGTAGAGTCTATGATGTCCTGAACATCAGACCACTCATCACTGCTGCCCATGCCTAGGTAAGACAATATGTATGATCTATAGGATCAGGACTTTCACACCACGGTGTTCCTCAAAGGGACTTTTGCAGCTTTGAATATCAAGGTTTCAAAACTTCATGGTGTCGTGTTCAAAGTCTTTAAATAGGAACAGAAAGTGGCCGATCATCTAGAGTCACAAATGCACCAGTGCTGGGAAGGTGCCCTCACAATTCCAGAGCAGGAAGACCGTAAGCATCCCTTCCCCCCCACTATACCCGAGTGTCATCAAGGTCATTGGCCTGAATCCTCATTAAAATGTGGTAACCAGAAATACTTCATCCATTAAAATAAATCCCAAATAATTTTTTATCTGTCAGTAAAAATTCTTCAATCACCATGCAGCGTTAGCTGAGATTGGAGACATCACAGTGATTTTCTGTACAGCTCCACAGATATTACTGTAGTTATGAATTGACATTGCTTAGTTGTAACAGAAAAAATTTTTCAATACAAATTCTCAAGTCTACAATTGGTTTAGATTCACAGTACAGTGAAATTTCACTTAAAAACTGATGCATGAAATCTGCTCTGGTTTCTGTATAATCTACAGCCTGAAGCCAGTATTTAAAGAACAAGGAATTTTCTCCTCTTGTCAAGTCACATTTATTGGATACCAAACTCTTCAAAAGCTCAAACTTGCACCTATTCTAAACAAGCAGTATGAACACAGTGTCTGTTCACACAAGAAATTCTTGAAGGATTAAAGACCTCATTCGTAAACTACATTAGTCCCTCAGTGGCATTAGAAGTGAAATTTTTGACCTTTCTGAACAGCCTCTGTAGACAAATATACAAAGCCCATGAAAACTTGAGTGCTGATTTTGTTCTTCTAGGCTGGCATTATGCACCAGCTGGCAACAAATGCCACATCTGAAGACAAAGTGTGATGTGTATCTGTTGCCAAAGCAGGCATCCATACACCAGTGGTTCTCAAGCTCACAGAAACAGAGGCTTCCTTTTCTTTATTTTTTCAAGCTGGGAAGCTTTTCTGCAAATACCTTTTGAGTACCTTTTTTGGTCGTTCAGCTCTAAGGCATGTGCATCACCGACAGACATTTTAATTACAGATGCAGAAAATACATAATTAAAATTCAAGTACTGGTGTTTCTCCTCAGCATGGAGATCTGATTTTGCCTTACACGTGAGAAACAGCTGAAAGGCTGAATATGTAGAGTATGCAGGAAAGACACAACTATCTGCCGGGAGCTGATTCCACAATATGATACTTCCACAAAGAAAAAAGCAGCTTTCACGTGCACAATGACTTCAGAGGTGCACACATATAGAAGATGGTATTGCTATTGATGGTAAACAAGCTTGTAAAGCAGCAACTGTAAAAAATGAGTATTTATAGGGCATTTGAACCACTGACACCCAGGCTCATTTCTCTGATACCAATGCTTATACTGACTTGCCTGGGCCAGGATTACCAAACAGATCACCATTTAACAGCTGGTTATGCAGAAGCCATACACTTTTACGGAGAGCTACACTAGCTTCTGGCAGATTGGCATCTGTGTCCCTGGGACCCCTTCAGCTGCTAACAGAAACACAGAATGGGACTTGGACACAACAATTCTCACCCAAATGCTACAACAAAAGACATTACATGTTGATTTATAGTCTTAATTTGTTAGGAACCAGCTTGTGAATGTTAGAAGAGGAACTTCCTCTATATTACTTAAGAAAAAATATCATCTGGTTCAGATGATGATCTGAGCCCTATGCTCATCCCTGTGCTCTTGCACAGGTTTTCATCCTGATCTTCAGCTAGTTTTACAGTCCTTTTGCACATAAGTTCACAACCTGCAAAGCAGACCACTTCTCATTTCTGAAGTCTGCTGCAAGTGTAAATACACTGTATGTTTGTGAGACTATTCATATTACTGACGTTTTAAAAATTTGCTACCCACCAAACTGCTAACAACCAGTTAGCCCTGTCTTGCTCGCATCTCTGGCTATGGCTACTTCAAATTCTATCATTATGAAGCTGATGAGCCCTCAGTTTCCCCGCCTCTTCCTGTAACTGGGAAGTCAATTACTTTAATGACCAAGTACCCAAGCTCCAGCTTCCATACCTATGCTGACATTCCTCATCTCCTGCGTGACCTGGACTTCCATGTTCCGGCTGTTCCGCTTTTCTCGTGCCCTCTTATTGCTCTTGGTTGTGCCATTGTATTCACTGATGGGCTGGATGCTCTCGTTCAGGGGTGTGACGGCAGCAGAGGGCACAGACGATGTTGGAGTGTTAGACTTGGTTCCAGTGGTGCTCGGCGTGGCAGCTGCTGAGGACTGTCCAGATTCGGACATTTCATCTTGGGGGCACTATGGCAATTCCGGGGTGGGGGGAAGAACAAAAAGGGAAAAGCACAGCTATACATTTCAATTAATCTCCCATTTGTTGGTGTATGGCTGCCTTAAAGCATTATGGAGAATGAGTCTTGTTCGCTGTACCAGCTGCACGCCCAGCGCTTGCTGGTGACACTAGGCACTGCAAACACAACGCAGCAGCGAGTTCTCATGCTGAACTCAGCAAGCAAATCCCATCTGTGAAAGGACCGATATCCTTCCTCCTTTACTACTAAACATTGGTCTTCACAAGTCACATCAGTGTGTGATCTCTCCATCACGCATCTCAGGAAAGGTGGCCTCATCGTAAGCGCAGAGCACCTGCAGCTCACACTGACCACAATGGAAGCTGAAGGGCTTTGGCGCTCACAGTTAGCCAGGCCAGCGCTTCCCAAAACTGGAAGGCAACATGGATACTGCTTGGGAAGGATCTGAAGTGGCCTCTTGGAGGCCTTGGATGATGTCATTACTGTAAGCCATGAACGCAACCTGGATGAGAGAACATTAAAGCGGTTTTGACAGCAAACTGCAGAAGCAAAGCGGATACCAAGCCGGGATGGTCTGACTTGGCTGGCGCAGGAGACCTATGTCCCCATACCACCTTATGCAGAAGCTGGCCAGGTATGGGTCTAGCTTGGCAGTACAGCAGGAACAGGTGTGGTCTCCAAGCTTCCAAATGACAGGATGACAAAACCCAAGAATTCAAAAATCAGAAGCTGACAAATTAACCCAGGAGATGGATTCCCAGTGTGAAATGTGCACAAATGGCTCTCAGTTTTACAGACATTACAGCCCCATTTCTTGTAATACCACTTCTTGAAAACCACGGGAGGCTTTCAAGGCTCAGTCAGGATTTAACCCTGTGACCCTTGTTTGTCAATTAAAGCAGCACTGCTTCACAGTCAGCCAATTAATGCCTTGACCAACGCTGCGATCACTCCCAGACCCAAATGAGATCTCCCCATCCTTCCCGGCTGCCCACTCTAATTACTTCCTGCAGGGGGATGACAAAATTAATGTTGAGAGTTCCATGCGATAATGAGTTGCAATTGGGTGCAGTGACATTCAACATCTGCACATCCAGACCCAGCTTTAATCTTTACTACTTGTCTCTCCCCTCCTGTGCAAGGACTGGAAAGAACGCCATCCTGCTCAGAGGTTGCTCTGAGCCTCCCAAGCTTGGAGCTGTGATGCTGTTTCACTTCACTGATTTGGAAGTCTCGTTCTCTTGTTCTAATAATAACTTTACAACATGACAAAAAAATTCAAAATGGCATGAGAGAGAAGACTGAAAAAATGGTGACTTAACCCTTTGCAGCCGTGTTGGTTTTTTTTAAATCTGGAATCTTATTAAGATCTTCCTTTAATTAGACTGGCCTCGATATTGTTATCTTAAAATACCCTGCTGTACACTGAACTGTGAAAGTCAAAGGTTTTACATTGCATCTGTGCATTTATATTGGAAATTTAAGGGTTTTAAAAACAGAATTACCATTAAATATGATCCACATTTTGTATATAGTTTCTGCACTGTCAGTCCGAACAGCACCCACATTCCCACACGGACACTCAAATCAGCTCCCTGCACATTTGCTGATTTTAGCACCAAGACTGAGATGGGGACTTTTGACCTAGGCTGCTACATGTGAAAACCATACTTCCCACCTCTGCTTCACATTGCTGTTTCAGGAGCTACTGTCCTAATACATAAAGAAAAAAAATCAAACCAGGTTTTTGAGAACAAATATGATCCAGTAAGCCACTTCAACTGCAGTTTGCCTATTGTGCTTTCTCGTGTACAAAGGGACAAAGAGTAAAGTACAAACATAAAACTTCCTTCCCCAAAGAAAATTTCTGTTGGATGAAAGGATTCTGAGATGTTCTTGCACCCACTGTAAGACTATAAGGCATAACCAAAGTCCGTGAGCATCTCAGCACTGTAAAAGAGACATGCACCTGGGTCCACGTGTCCTTCCTTGTTCTTAGGAATTAGATGTCATTCCGAAAGCCTGTAACACCAGTGTCTACAGGGCGACATTTACATCAGAGATGCCCTGTAACTTCTTGTTTATTGACATAATCTGCTCCTCACTCAGAACACACCAGTGAGTAATTACCCTGGCCTTTCACCTGTTTTTTTGCTATACATTAGAGTTTTTACATTTACCTAGAAAATGTACTTTATCAACCTACCAAGCCTGCGTTGGAGAAATTCCTCCCAAATGTAACTACTATTAAGGTGCTCCTCCTTGCAGTCCAGAAGCTCTATTAATCTTTGCTGGTATCTTCCTTCTATTGTCCTGAGTGCTTCATTAATGCTAAGTATTCCAGTAAGTGTACGGCTCTCCTCTACAGCGTAGGAGGCATTCTCCATAACCCATAGCTCACCCAAAGAATACTCTCCACAACCACCACTTACCTACAGCCATACCTGTCAACCTCCTAAACATCAAATGTGTAGTAGAGACCTCCAAAATGCATTGCAAAGGCCCAACATTCATAGCAGTCATATGTCACCATGAGAAGCCACAACTGTATGGTTACAACACTGAAAGCATAGTACATAAAAACAAAAATGTTAAGGACTTTCATCTCCAAAACACTGTAAAAAATAAATGTACAAATGAATGTAAAAATAAAATAATATGGCAGCAACTAGAACAGAAAATACTAATAATAAGTATACAAAGACACTTAAAATATAACTACAGTATGGCCTCATGAAGAAGGAAAACCAGTCAGAAGAGTCAGGATGTACATACTGGGAAGGTGAGTCGTGCGTGCAGTTGATGTCAGTGAAATATCAGAACTGCTGAAGAAGAGGCGAGAAGTGCATGAGCAGTACTGCCGAGATTTCAGTCGTGAATTCAGTCAGAATATTTAAGAAATAGCATTCCAGCCAGAGAGCATGCAAGAAGCTTGCAGGAGGAAGGTCTCCATTCCAAATGGCAAATCTAGCAAGTTAGTCAATCACATCCTTTAATTATTCATAGGTTTGCTCCATACTCTTAGGAAATCCTCTGTAACACACTTCCCCATCCAAGTCTTCCCCAGCCCAAGCTGACTCCACCCTACCAGCTAGCCTCCTTTCAAACCCAGCATACCACTGCTGAACTTCCTCAGGGAGCACCAGCACCAACTCCTGGAGTACCTGTCAGACACACCTGCAGGAGCACACTACTGCTTCTGCACAAAGCTTTCTTGTCACTATTAACTGATTTTTTTGCCTGACACCACCACCAACAAATCACTAGGAGATCCAGTGAGTAACCTTCCCTAACCTGAACTTGGACATCAAAGATTTCAATTTATCTGGGTTCCTGACGCATTCTCTTACAATACAGAAGCTGGGTCACCACCAAGATCCCCTCAACTTCTTTCAGAAGTTCTGCCATGGTACCGCTTGAAGAATTATGCCTTAGCAAGTCTGTGGAAGATGGATCTAACCCCAACGTCCTCCCAGCTCTTCTCTAAAAGCTAACCACTGCCGTAAAAGCCTGCTCGCTAGAGAGCTCAAGGGCATGTTCACACCACAGCGTGCAGCACTGCCTGCAGATCTCAAGGAATAAAATGGCTCCAGAACCAGAAATGGGCTGGTCTCTGTGCATTTTGGTTACTGTCCGTGTCCTTGCAGCAGTGTTGTCTTGGCACAACACTAGTCTAGAGAAACACATTCATATTCTATCTTCATTTCCACCATCCTTAATTACTTATTGCACTGTGGCTTTGCTACTCCCTAATTCCAGGCAAAGCTCTCCAGAAATGACTGTAGGACCTGACTGGCATTCTGCAAGTTGCTACGCTTCCCAAACTTCTGTACCTCTAACACTACAGCAAGGGTTGGGTTCCAAGAACAGTCCCCACCTCATCCAAAGATCTTGCTTTTGGATTTCCAGCTTCCATGATGGTAGAGGGCTGACGAAGTGCTAAGGTTTGTGCTGTGCTAGGCCTCGCTACTTTACAAAGGAAGTGTTAAAAAGGGAAGTTGCTGCTTTGTATTCTTTATAAATTTTGAATATTGTCAAAATTTCTTGTGCTATGCATCAATGAGGCCATTCCTGCGAAGTCCCTCAAGGCAAAAGTACCATTAATGTAATCTGGAGACATGCAGAATGGGTGCAACAATAAGCTGAGTTTTTTCTTTCTTTGTCTTTTTTTCCTCCTCTTTGCCTTTACTGCCCCAATGTATTTTACAGGATTAATGATTTACAGCTTCTCGAAAGGAGACCAGTCCTTAGATGTGACATATAAAACACCTGATGTTTTACAAGTTCCAGGCAGAGAGAAAGTAAATTTTATTAGACAATTTTAAAGCAGACCAGAAGCTCTATGAGATACTGGTGGACATACCATAAGCCGTGCTGGGTAGATGCACCACTGGCTCTCAGGCCTCCCACCAGGCATTTGCGGAACATAATTCAAAGAGAGGGGAATTTGGTGAAATCCTGAGCACAAAGACTTTGAGAAGTCTACAGGTACAGCTCATGGGAAATGGGGGTCACCATGTAGTCTAAACTGTAAACAACTGCAGTGAGCTGTCAGCTAAGAGTACAACATGGGGGTCTCTGGGCTCAGACCGGTCTCCGAACGGCAGAGCAGAGCACCACAAGCAACAGGCAGCACCATGCAGCTGCTGCAGCATGGTTGCAATGCTGTGAGGTTTTTGGCAATCTCAGTGCAGAAGACAGTGCATCGAAGGTAGACAATGCAAGTCTAGAGCAATGGCTAGATAGATGAGGAACTGAAGACCTTTAAGCACCGTGCAAGACTTGGGCATCCAGAGGTGATCAGGAGCCCTTTTTACTGAAGAAAGGAAGGCCATAACAGCGATTAGTCAAAAAGGACAAACACTGGAGAGCAAGTGCAGCCCAATACCCGGTCCCAGCTGAGGTGCAAAAGCACTGCTCTTATAAAGGAGGAGAGAGGGGACGGGTTCCACCACTTCCTCTCCCAAAAAACTA